TGGGAAAGACCTCCTGCCAGAAACTCTGCAAGGCTGTCTGCCACTCAGTATAGAAAATAATGGGCTGGAGAACCCAACATTCTGGATGAAGCAGCTTCTCAAGAGAACTGTACGATCAATGAGACAATAAAATTAGTTATGCCGGTAATGCAGTTCATTTTTTTAGGCATTGGACTTTAATGGACCCTCACACACACCCTTTAGATTGAAAGAACTTCACAGGAGTTCTACCTTTTTATGCTCCTTTTATCAATTCCAGTGCTGTATATTGCTTTGTATTGTATTCTTTTCAAAATTTGCATTACCTCCTATGCCTTAGCTATGTGTATGACACTTTAATGATTTGTAATCCATTCAAAGAACATTGCTATTGGGGGAAGGAATACAAAACCAAAATAAAATAGAATGAAATGAAAGGCGGTGATTGAGAGCCACCCATGGTCCTTGGGCCTTGTACTGAAGAAGCCTGCTCTACTTTGCCTGGGTCATGACCTTCACAATAGGACTTGGAAACTATTTGTAGGATCTCTACATATCACAAAAGTAGGAAGATGATTCCCTTCTAATTTTAGATTTCTAGAACCCCTGCTATCACAATTTTAAAAAATGTTATTTGGTAATTGGAACATTTAGCATTATATTTAAGAGACTGCTATCTGGACTTTCTAATGAGACATAGTTTCCCACCAGGCAGAAGTTTTGTTTGTGGCAGACAAAACCAGCAGGTTCTGCACCAGGTGAATTTGGACTTATGATAGCGCTGATAGTGCTCTTTTGGAGGAAAAAGCAAGTAGTTCTACAACACAGGCAGAGAGAGAACAGGACAAGTTTGGGAGTGAAGGTGCTTCCAGATGGATAGCTGCTGACTGATTGAAACACTTTGTGGAACCATGTGATCCATGCAACCTGTCCACCTTTAACAGGTCTGCAGCAGTAAGAAATAAGATGGAGAAGTGGTGGGAAAACATTCTAACCTTCGAGGGTTAGAAAACAATGCGTGGACACCCCTCTGCCACAAATGAGGCAGGTGATTGTACAACGAGAGCATTGTCCGGGAGTGCCACCGGCTCAGTTTGCATTCTGAAAAAGCAGAGATGACAATGCTCAAAATTGCACTGATAGAAAGTAACATCTATTCTGCATCTTGAGCCGTGGCTGGAGGCCATGACGCCACTGGGGTGGGGAACTGGGAACCCATGGAGAGGATCCATTCTTCCCCAGCCATCTCCTGTCTTCCTTTGCCCCTTGCCTAAGCAAGGTGCTTGGGCAGCACTGTTGCTGCTCTGCATGAGGCCTAGGAGCAGAGCAAGTCACATATTCTGGTGTAAATCAGTCCTTGCATTCACTCTAGTGAGAGTCAAGGAGGTGATTTAAAAACAAAACCCACCCAAAGAAAAACAAACCCTTAAATGAAATGCTCCAGTTTGGGTTGTGTGTTTATAGCCACTCAACAGATTTTGGGAGAAGGGGAAACAATGAGGGTTCAGTTGTTCTCCTGGAGGGCCAGATCAGGGCATTGTTCAGCTAACTGCCTGTTTTCTTCTTGCTTTTCAGAAACGCTCTCATTATTTTTAGTTTTTATTTTATTTTATTCTATTTTCGAGAGAGAAAACCAGGCAACGAAGCATCAAAGTCCCTTTAATTAATGTCGATACACAAACTTCACAAATTCAGCAGTAAAGAACGGAACATTCTGGCTAATCTTCCTAGAAGCTGGCATGTCAGCCCCTGATAAGACATTAACAGACTTTCAAAGCTAATAAGAGAAGAAGGCATTGTCGCAGCTACAAGCTGCTGGTTGTTGTCATCAGGAGAGACACTTGTTGGCAGCGTGCTTTAAAAGATCAAGCAAGAGATGAAAAGTCTCCTAGAAGGAAGCAAGACTCTCCAGGCACTCAGGCGATCAGCTGCCACCCACACAAAGTCCCTTTAATTAAAAAGGAATATTTTAACAAGACATTAATAGGATGCATGCATATCTTTCAATTGTCACTACCGAGGACAGTGTTTATGCCTCTTGGATCACAGCACCCATTTTATCCACAACTTTGTCTCTTGGGGAGAGGCAGGGAATGCCTTTAAAAATAAAAGAATCATTAATGTGTACATGTTTGTGCTAACGCAAGGAGCTTCCTCCTATTCTGGCGCTCCTTGGAAGGGAGGCCTAGCACTGAAGGGAAGAAGCGAGAGGGAAGCTACCATAAGGACTAGCGGCTGTAGTAACTCTCTTTTCACCAATGCGTATTAGGTGCAGACACCATGGCATTTTAGGGATTTTAAGCCCACCTCACACCAATGTTCTTTTTAAGCTTGGCAGCCAGTAGGAATGTTGGGGAAAGCAGCAATGGACTCAAACAAATTCTAATTTCTAACAAACTGACCTGTGGATTCTGCAGTGTACTGGCTTTTCCCAAGTTGTATGGATTTCTTAGCCTTGCTGACCTTTAAAAATGTACATTATTTTATGCAAATTTAATCATAGAAAGTTTGCATAAAATTTTTAAAAACCAAACATACATATTTCCTCTAAAGAGTAAAGTCTGTAAATACACATTTTGTGGGGTGGGGATTTGTATAGTTTAGGAGAATTTCCATATTTGCAGGAGTATGAATTTATGCACCTCTGAATGGTACCTATTTGTGCAAAATCTGATTCCAACAATGAGCAGAAGAAAAAGGCTCTTGACGATCTGTGAAATGGATGGCACAGATTATACAAAGTTTGACTGTAGTTTCCTTGCATCCATCTCTTCCAATCAAAAGCAGTGCTGGACCAGTCAATGTTCATTAACAACCTAAATGTACCTTTCCTCCTTTTGTTTGATGTGACCACACAAGTAAAGGTTAGTAATCTTTTCCCTATGTCTCCAGTCACTGTTGTAGCAGGGTCACCATCACAGATCTTCGTTAAGCTGACATTCTAATAACAGCCATGGTCTCCCTCACTCCAAGAATGCCCTCCCCCCACTCTTTTCAGGTGTTGCCACTGCCAGGCCTTTGGGCCTACTGGGTTCAAGGGCTCCAAAAACTAGAGACACCTTTAGGCCTATAATCTTACCCAGTCAGGGCAAAGTGTTGCAGGGTGGAGACTCAGGTAGAGCTCCCCGGGTACGATTTGGAAGATGCATGGACATGCACAAGAATGCTGTTATTTTCATCTGTTAAATGTTGGTGACAATATAGAATCCTCCCTTTTCTTAGTAGCCCATTTTAGCCCTATGTAGAGAAGACCCATTGAAAGGAATGGGGCTTAAGTCTGCCATAAGTAGGCCCAAAGTCTCATTCCTTTCAGAGGGTTTACTCTAATATGACTCACTTTTGTTACTACAGATATAAAATATCCATTTCCCTGTGCATGAACTCTTGGTAACCTTGCCGAGGTGTTGATCTGAAGAGTGCTCCTCAAGTCATAAAGTTCATTTAATCAGTGAAAGACAGAAATTCAGTGTGTGTGTGTGTGTGTGTGTGTGTGTGTATGAATGTACCACTGGTGTAACAGAAACTGTTCAGCTGAGACAGCATTCTTAGTGGTGATAATCCTCTGATAGTGTGAGATCCACTAGACATGGACCGAGAAGACAATTACTGGCACCTAGCTTTCTGCATAATTGCCCAATGTCAAGATAAGTGTGGAACCTGGCCTACTTTCTGTAGTTCACAATTGTGAAGAAGTGGGATCAGAGTGCAAAAAGGATTGGTCAAACTACCAATGATCAAGTGTGCTCTTAAAGGTACAAAACACATTCGGACTGTTAAAGGCTGATGCTGGACTCTTATGAAGGAGGAGTAGGCTGCTCTGTATTGTTGGGTGCACATTTCAATAAAGAGCTTTTTTGTGGGGAGTGGGGAGTTGGAACTTGCTGGTGGTTTCTTGTCTGTTGTGGTTAGACAAATGAACCTTTCATAGTTAGAGTCCCGGACACTAACTTTGCTCTTTTAACTCCTAGAAAGATAGGATTGTTTAATGGTTGATCATGCACTCTAATTCATTGAGCAGTGCAAGTCAGCTTGCTAAGAATACAGGAACTTTCAGCCATTGGTCTGTTTGCACACACAAAAGCATGTGCCCAGGAGGGTAAGTAGCAGCAATCCTTGGTGTGTGAAAGCAGAGCTGCTACAAGCACACAGAGATCCATTTTATATTCTGTCCTTTCAACTTTGCAGAAGCTGAAATAAACTTTAAGCAAAACCAAAACCCATGGAACTGTCTGTCTGGTTTCAACAGACATTTGAAATTTAGCACCCATCCTTCCATTGCTTCGTTGCCTTGGTGTAATACTCAATTGAAAACAGAGCCTGCTACAGATCCAATTCTTTTCCACTGCAATCCTTAAAAGGCATAGAAGTCCTATACATGGGAATTCAATGCTCTGTGGACTCTCCAAGCCCCAGTTGCCAGTCCACTTCCTTCACTGCTCATTAGGCCCACCTACCTCGCTTCTTCATTTCTTCTATCCTGTTCTTCCACCCATCTTTCCATTAGAGTTTGCTTTCTAAGCCCATGGTACTCCTCTGGAGAGCTCCTCTCCCTTTTAGTTTCTCTCATTGTCAAGACTCTTTCCCAGACCTCAGCCTACTTCATAGGACTGTGTGTGGTTTAATTCATACCAGACAACTAAGTTGCCCTTGCTAATGTTAAGCTGCCAGCTTTCTATCAGCTTTACTTCCTGAGCAGTTGAAATGCTTGTCAACTTTCCTTCCCAATTCAGCCAATCCATGTCAAAGGCTTCCCTGCCGTACATACAATACCATAAAAATTATCCAGTGAAGCTAATTGTGTCAAATGCATGAGTCTATTTAATATTACTATTAGTCTTGTTTGTTATATAAAAAGTATCTAAACCTGGCAGCAGTATCCCAAAAGGAGTTTGCATTCTGTAATAAGGCTAGTAGGAGCATGAGACAGATTTTCAATAATTTTAAGAGAGCCAACTCAGCTTTAATAACAGTGCCAAATACCCTCAGGAAATACAGACAACAGTGGCCAGTTTGGCAGGCTATTAGAAAACTGCAGAATCAAGAATTTGGAAGTCTTGGAATGGCTGCTCTTTCATAAGTATTCCATTGCTAATAGCAGCCAACATCTCTAAGCATCCTACCACCAGGCAACACCAAGCCAGGTAGCACATGACAAATCTCAGTCTTTCATCCAGCTTTTTGAGACAACCTTCATTAAAGAGTTTCTCTGGCTGACTTACATCACCGGTGCAATCCAAATATGTCTCTTTGCAGCAGCTTTCCGGGGCAAGGACACGCCCAGCTTGGAGACGGGTTGGAAGTGCCACCATCCAGTCTGTGTAATTGTATACCCCACAGCACTTCAGCTGCTTATGGATGGAATCAACAGCCTCCATGGGAATGGTCTGGTTATGCAGGTGGAAAGAATAGTCCATGATGTTTTTCAGTTGATAACCAGCCTTGGCGGAGTAGATCTGGGCCATAATGGCCGAGGAAGTTTCCAAGCAGAGTAAGACCAGTAACAGGTACATCAGAGTTCCCTGCTGATGGCGAGAATTCCTCAGTGGGGCACACATAGCTAAAGCACCAGTGGGGAAAAGCAGAAGAGCAGCCCCAATAGCCAACCAGCCAGGCACAAGGAAGAATTTGTTCTGGAAGAAGGATCTATAATTCTCATAGGTGAGGATCACAAAGGTTCCACCAAACAGGAGAGCCAGAGCAGCTCCCCAGAGAAAGAAACCAAGGAGGGTCAAAGCAACTTTTGCAAAGGCTCTGCTCCAGGGCTCGGTTATGCACAATAAGGAAGGGCTGAAGCTAGGACTAAATCTTACCACCTTCATTTTAAAAAATACCCTTTGCTACGCACTTTTTTTTGAAAGTGAAAAGCTCTGTTTCTCTCTCGCCTTTCAAAAGGTACCTCCCTATTTCTACTCAGGTGGTAGTAATATGAAGCTCTATCCCAATTCGTAGCCTAATCAGCAGGCCCAAAGCCTGTTACTAAGATCTTTGCTGATAAGCAAAGCCCTGATCCTACAAAAGCTTATGGTTCAGTGCTATAGTTCACAAGTGCTCAGCCAGGTGCCCTCTGGAACTTTTGGACTTAAATTCCCATCAGCTCCAGCCAGCCTGTCTAATGGCTGAGAATGCTAGTACTAAACATTTAGTGGGCGCTATTTGGTAATCTAACCTGGTATTAGAGAGCCAGTGTGGCGTAGTGATTAAGAGCATGGGACTGGGACTCAGACGATCTGGGTTCTAGTCCCTGCTCAGCCATGGAGCCAACTGGGTGACTGGGCCAGTCACAGACTCTCAGCCCAACCTACCTCACAGGGTTGTTGTTGTGGGGATAAGATGGAGGAGGAGTATGAGGTAAGCTGCCTTGAGCCCTTTGTAGGAAAAAGGCAGGATATAAATCGATAAATAAATAAATAAATTTGGCTATTTAGTCTGGCTCTGACTGGTAGGAAAAAGCTGAGAACATTCATATAACTTGTTTCCTGATCCTTTAAACAATGAGAAGATACTTGGGATGGCAGGAATATCAGAGGCAGGACTTTATATATGGAAAATACCCAGTCTCTCACCGAACTATCACCCCTTCTCTACCCTCAGTCTCAGTACTGGTTTTAAGGAAAACCCAAGTGATTATAAGATGAGGGCTGCTGAAGCTTTTCATTCTTTGGCAGACTTATCTTGCTTGCAATTTGGGTGAGCAAACCTACCAGAACATGTGAGTCATCAAGGTGACACTAACCCACCACATGTTCAACCAACATGGGCTGGTCAGGTTGCCAACTGATAAAATATATGGGCTTGATCTGTACTTCTGCCTGAAAGAGCAGCTGACTGCACAAAAAGGGCGGGTGAAGCTTTACTCAACTGGAAAACAAAGCAGTCTCATCTGCTGTAGTTAACATCTGTTCATGGAGTGGCCACTAAATGCACAGCTACAGCACCTGGACCAAAAGGAGGCAATTCTGCAGCTGAAACCTGCAAAGAAAGGCAGTGTCAAATACTTGACTATTGAGATAATGTTCAGCTTGGGGTGGGGTGGGAGGGTTATGCCTTATGTGGGCCTGAATTATGCCTTTCAGTAAAAAGCTGCACATTGGCTGAGGTGGTATTTTGAATAGTCATCAGCTGTAGAGTTCAAATGCCATTGGTATTCTCAAAAAGATTATCCAAGGAAGATCAGCATTGGCTAGAAAAGAAAAGGCAGTCCACTGAATACTGGGCTTAGCTGAATTACTGTGGCACTAATTCAGGAGGGGAACTCAATATTTGCACATCCCTGAACTCATAAGATTATGTCCAAGGAGCTCACAACAGGGAGAACTAATTAACTCACTAACGTTGCAATCCTATGTATGTGTCCTCAGAAGCAAGCTTTATTGTTTTTAATGTTTCTTATTGTCAGGTAAGGATTGCAACTTGAAAGCATCAATTGTTTTCCACTAGAGGCCTGACACAGTAAATTTGGCTATGTATTAACTCTGACTGCTGCCATGTTGTGGAGAGACCGCTGCAGCCTTGTGGGAGCCATTCTTTTGGTAGGCAAATCTCACTTAACTGGAGGTAGCTCCTGAATACAGAAACCACGTGGAAAGCTGGTAGGGAGAAGGTTGGGACTTGTAAGCCTTTTTTTTTTTTTGCATAGAATTACACTTTAAATTTCAAATGTAGTTGAAGGCGCAGGCTCATTTCTCATACAAAAGTTGGGTAGGACAGTGTCTGTCCATTTTGGCATGTATCTTTGGTTCTACAAAGGCCAGATACTTAGTTTCTGCCTTGATTTAAACAGAAGCAGTCACTCTGGACCTGCTATTGTGTTATCTGGGCAGAAAGGGGTATAAGACAACCCCCTCTTCTTAATTTTCTGCTTGTTTTCTGACTTCTATTTAGCCTCCAGGCCTGACTTCTCTCTTGCTCTTTGCTGCTGCTGCCTGGGTGGTCCTGTGGTCTTTGTTTTTAGCTTGCCTGCAGAAAGGGCCATGGCTTGTCCCAGACTGCTGCCTACCACTTGGTCCTAATAACTTGAAGGATAGTTAAATGTCAATGTGCTTATTTAAACTCTCTTCATAAAATTCGTCAATAGGCAGACCTCTGTTTGATTTGCAGGTACTATGAAAGGGTTGCTGAGTTCCTATAGAGAAAGTAGAGTTGCAAACAAAGCCTGCCATGGTCCATGAATGCGAATTGCCTATTTCGCTACCCTGCCTTCTCCATGAAGTTCAAACTTGTGTATGTGGGCCTTGTTCTCACCATTTTATCCTCACAGCAACCATGGTCAGGTAGGTGAGGCTGAGAATCGGTCACGGGGCCCAAAATCACTCAGTAAGCTTCATGGCCAACTGGAGACTTGAGCCCAGGTTGTGCCAACTCAGCTCTGTAACCACTACATTCTACTGAATCTCTCTCGGTTCCACTCATCTATAAAATGTGCAAATGAGCAGGTTGACTTTTGACTGAGTTTTCCTGAAGCTCAGTGCCTGGTGCTCTGGGTCAGAACCTCTGTGTGATGAGAACTCAGATTTGTATTTTGTTTGAGAAGGTCACTCCTGAGCATAGCTGGTGTAGTAGTCAGTTGATTTAATCCCTCAGCCATTATTTAGTAGCTGATGTTATCCCTGAAGGTGCTAGATTTCACATGGGTCTGGTTATTGTATTTAGAATTCAACTAAAAATCGTTGTAGTTCTTGCACATCTGAAATCTGGCCCATCTTGTTCTACTTTCTTTGGAAATCCATGTATTGCTTCTTAAAGCCATACTGCTTTTAGCACTTGACTTCCAATGACTGATTTTCTAAAGCTTTTAAACATTTTCAGAATACCTTTCTCAGAATGTATCTTTCCAGTGGTTTAAAAGCCTTCACCAGTTCTGTTGAATGTCATTTTCTCTGATTGCTCAGTTAAGTTACTGTTTGGCAGGGGAATGCAGGCATCTGTTCTAGACTGGATTGTATCACACCATTAGTCCAACCAGCCTAGTATTGGGCAGGATTGATTCCTAAACTGAACCAGGAAGCCTCCACATGCAAACCAAGTGCCTTAACACTGAGTCCTTCCATATTCCTGTGTTACAAAACACATGTGATTCATGCTTCAGAAGCATCTCTCTTATTAGCGGGGATCTCATCTAACATGCCCATCTTGAACCTTGATCCTTGTTGCTCCTCCCCAAAAACCGAGATGTTCCCCCACTGTTTCATACAGTCACCAACTAACTTTAAAAAAAGTGGCCTGCCCTGCTCCTCTCCATTTAAGAGCACTGTGAGCTGCAGAAATTAGTCCTTCTGAAGCTTTCTGTGGCATGCAAGAGATGCATTATCTGTTGCTAAAGTCTGAACATTAACCTCCTTTTCAAGCTCAGGCATAGTTCCCCCTCCCCCACCCCATTAGCAATATATTGTTTTCTTTTGTTTTTAGTGGAACACTTCTCTTTCTTTAAGGCAGGATGCGCTCCAATGGAGCAAAGCTCAGAGGACCAAGGTTCCATTTGGATGCCAGAAAGCATTTCCTGACAGTTAGGACCCCGAGGGTGTGGAATGGGCTTCCATGAGAGGTCGTTGAGGCCCCATCGGTGAGTGTGTTCAAAGATAGGCTGGACATGCACATGGTGGGCATGTCGTGAGCGGAGCCGGCTGGTGCAGGAGGTCAGACTAGATGGCCCAGGAGGCCCCTTCTGACTCGCTCTGTTTCTATGTTTTATCACACATCCCAGAGCCTTCCTTCTAGCATCCATGAAAGAGGAGACACAATCCATGCAGCAGAGCCTGGCTGAAAATAGTTCCAAGTGTGTTGCTTTATTTTATTGCAGGCAGGCTGCACAGGGAAAGGTCACAGTGCTGCAGCTTTCTTTGCCGTCTTTTCCCCTCCCCCATGCTCATCACACAGTATATGAACACAGGAGTTCCAGAGTTCTTTATAGTTAACTTATTCTGCAAGCTTTGAAAGGCATTTGATGGTTGAAAGGGCCTCCTGAGCAATATCACAGCACCTGAGGCGGTTCTAGGATGAATGGGCACATGTCAGTGGTCCCAAACCCACCTCTCCCCCTCCCTCCCTCTCTCCCCCTCCCTCCCTCTCTCTCTCGGAATGGGCCTGGGGGAATTTAGGTAGTTTCAGAAAGGCCTGGAGGCTTCTGTCTTTCTAAACATTTCCTAGTACATAATTTCAGTCTGGCTGTTTGGATCTTGTTCAAACTCTCCCTCTCCTTCTCCGTGTGTGTGTATGTGTGTTGAGTTTCTGTATGTGTTTGTGTGTGTTATCATTGATGTCTTACTGTAGCCTATCAAAATCCAAGGATTTTTATTCATTCTTTTCTCAGCAAGAGCAAGAAGAAGGATCAGTTACAAGCCAGGGAAAGCTTAAGTAAACAAGTGTGTTTTGGGAAGTCATTTAAAACACTTCCTGTTTTCTTCCTCCCAGGTCTCAGGGGAAGGGTGTTCCTGATGGTGGGAACCACAGCTGGGTGGCCCGGCTTTTATCATGTTCCATGGCAAATGTCTGTTGGTTACGGAATGGCTAGTAAGATCTCCTGTGAATACCGTAAGGGCTGAGGGGTTGTGGGTGCCCATTAGGAATCGAGCCCCACATGCCAAGCAAGCATTGCCATTCTTCCACACCTGGTACTGCTGCTAGCGGCAGTGAGTGGGGAGTAGAGAAGAAGGTTGGGTTCTGTAGCTGATGCACTCACTTGCTGCGCCCCTTTTTCATGCAGAGTGCCACTGAGAGCAGCAGCAGCAGCGAGTGGGGAATCATGCAGCAGTAGAGCTGGAAGGGACAGAGGGCCATCAGGTCCAGCCCTGCTTGCAGGACTCCAAGCTAAACCGTACCTCTCAAATGGCTGTCTA